TTACCTTCCGTCCGTTGTCGAGGGAATCAACAAAAGTGCGTTCACTGGCGTCAAGTGCGCGAAACAGCCGAGCTCTCGGGGCTGCTAGTCGGAATTATTAATGCACTTTCTCGGCCACGCGATGAACTAGATCCGCTCGAGCATTCGCTACACGGGGATTGTTAATGCAAAACTCGTGTTCTTTTATTACGTAGGTACGGAGAATAGTCTTAGTTATGTAATACAAGCGCGGCGCTTCTCGTTCTCGCTTCTTTCGGAGAATGAGCCTCGCCCTCGATCCCTCTTGTACACGAAGGAAATAACGCCTTTTCAAAATCAAATGCACTCGTCGACGTATTTTCCGTTATTTTAATCACTCGTTTACTTCGAGCGTAAAAGCGATATTGCAATCTTTCATCCGATCACGCTCTTTAAGACTCGTTAATTCCTTCGCGTTACGACGATGTTGCGCAAAGCGAGGAACAAGATTCTGCATTCTTCTTCGACGCTGCCTGGCTGTTTATTTTTTCGAAAGGGAAGAGAAAAAAGGCTATAATACGTGCAAAACCGTCGTTACGTGGAACCAACTTCAAACCGTGCAGTTTGAGCGCTGAGATGTCTCTATACGAAGATTGGTTTGGGTAAATCGGCTTATAACGAGGCGTGAAACGAAGACTGAGATCGGCAGAAAACCGCGATGTCACGATTTATTCGGGATAAATAAAACGGGTCCTTAATCAACTTAATCTTCGATCGGTCGCGCTGTAATTAGCGCGCGCGCGCGCGCGCGCGCGCGCGTTGAGCGATCGCCGGCATCCTTCTAACGGACGATGGAATCCGTGCGGTTTTTGCGTGATTTAATACACGTCTCGGTGTCCCTTTTATACGCGCCGATCTTATACCGCTAGGCTAATCCATGTCGGCGATAAATGCCCGCGCACGTGTGCGGTAATCGGCTACGCGTAATAGAGGCCGATCACGCGCGCATTTATGACGCAACCGATTCCGGGAAGCACGATAAAAATCCCTCCTTTTTTTTTCTTTTTTTTTTGTTCTTTTTCAAGACGATACAATTATCTCTGCACATGGGTAGTTTTACGGATAGAATTGCGACGAATGAAACGCTCGTTCTCTTTTTCCATCTTGAAAAAAAATGTTCGTTGTAATAGATAATCGCGGTTTCGAGCTAAATTGAGTGAGGATAAATTCAGGCTGAAAGTTGTCTGATATAGATTTAGGGTGTCTATCATCCGAAAAAATCTCGAAAACCTAATTCTCAATGAATTTTATTGAAAATCAGAGAATTTCTATTGAAACTGCTTTTTCTGTACTATTCTATTTCTATATTATAATTAGGATTTATCGATTTCAATTGTTAACAATGAGCCATCTATCTTAAACATCATAGCATACTGATTAATCTAACATTTAGTGTTGAAGACAATGTGTTAGATGCAGCTTTGTTTTATGGATATTTATTTTGTTTTTTAAAAATTGAATTTTGTATCGGCGATTATGCATTATATAATTTTTTATTTATAGTTTTTGAAAATGTAGTTTTAAAATTCATTGCAATATAAAATATTTATTTTTAGAGTCCTCATAGTTTCTTTCAAAATTTTTTAAATTGAAACTCTTAATTTTAGTGACTTTTAATTTTATTTTATGATTTATAAATGGAAGATAATAAGAACTTTGCACAATAAATATATATTTAAAAATATTTTTATTTTATTTGGAATTTTTAACAAATTACTTTGAAAATTAATATTCTCAGAAATTTTTTTTTTTCCAGATGTGAGTAGATTTTCTGAGATTGTTTGGTGACCTTATTTAATTCATTTATTATTCGAAAACGTACGACTTGTTCTTCCTCGTGAAATCAAAACGTGTTTCACCAATGTGGATTTTGATGATTATTGCACCTGTCCAGTTGGACTGTTTTCACTTTGCAGGTTCTCGTAGAGCTTTCGTTTAACTCGATAACTCCGATTCATATGTCAAAATCGATCATCTCGTACTCTCTTGTTTCCTCCCTACGCTTTTCAAACACATGTAAAATCACATCTAACGGCATACGTCAAGTTTGCTCAAAACTTCATTGTTGGAACATGCAGTGTTTCAAACGTCAAAGCTTCTCGTCGCGGCAACAGCCGGCAACTCGTCGAAATATCTGAATGAACGCTGAAACCCGAGGGGAAAAGGCTCGGGAGACGATGGCTATCTGTAACGTGAGAAAATGGGGTTTCTCATTAAGCGATCTTGTTACGTGTAACGCCGCGCGTGTGAATGTACGTTCATTGTTACCGGAGAACACCGAACCGGTATCGATGATATTAATAAATAGGTCGCGATCGTTCGGCGAAGCTAAGGAATCGCGCCTATCTCGATTCCGAACGATGTTATTATTAGCGACGTGTGTAATGACAGTTTGCTTTGTTATTGAATTATCGATCGTCGCGAGTATGCCAGGTATGCGAATTCGCGTTTGCACTTATCAAAGAATATTGAACTGATGGTGGAGAAATCAGCTAGCGACTCATACGATTACGTAGCATACCATATTATCGCCTTTGATTATCTTACGATATTTTTTTTTTAACAATTCACAATCAGCTATTTTTAGATGAATATGAACGTCTTACCGAACGTACATGGAAAGAACGATTTTTGCTGAAGTATTTAAAAATCTGATATCTGGAATCGGATATCTGGAAAATAAATTTATTCGGCCATCAAAATTAATCATGATAATGATATTGCAAAAATTTTTAATATTCTAACAGGCAATTTGAAGAAGTCCAAGATAATTCTTTTGTTTGCCTGACGACATTATTTTCAGATTTGTGATTAAACTTTTAAATAAATCAGCAAAATTGTAGAAACTTTCAGGAAGAGCCAGATTGTATTTATTAAAACACGTTGTGTTTACTAAATTATGAATATAATAATGATGTTATCAAATTTCAAGTACAGTAATAAGAGAATCGAAGTTTATTAGCGGTTTAGATATCCGTAGAACTTGAGCAACGTTCCCGTTAAAGAAAGCCTGGAGAAGAAATCTTTATAAATGCGGCTGGATATTACGGAGCCTCTTAATGCGCGTCCATACGACCGCGGAGAATGCTCGGGAGATGGTGGTTAATACGATGCTTGCGAGAAAGGCAAAAGCAAACATTAGGAACTGTTACGCCGGCAATTTTGAAATCCGACAGAGAGAATGATCTAACTGCTGCTTCTCGCCGTTCGGCCATAAATTGCCAGTTTGCGCCACAATAATTCCAATCATTTTTCCTGAATGCTTTATTAAGCGATGTCGTTTGATGTTGCGTATTTTTCGATGACGCAAATTTTTCGTGATTCTTGCCTCGTTTAAATTCTCATCTCAAAAAATTGTGAAAGATTGCTGGAAACGGAAAAGAATAAGTGAAAATTCGCAATTTCTACGCGAATCTCCGATTGAGAAGTGACGATTTATCTTAATTGCAACACTTGAGAATAATAATAATAATTTTAGAAAATTATAGCGTCGCTGAAGCTGCTCATTCTCATTCTCCTATTCCGTTGCTTTTCATTACGGATATTACGTGTGAAGTAAAATTTATTGGATAATTCTCGTTAAATCCGCGCATCAAACGCGCGTGATTAGGTGATTTAATAAATCGCTCGCGCACAGTGGCAAATTAATGAGACACGCTCACGAGAATCTAATTAGGATGTGGAAATTAATTCGTCGTGAGGAGGCTCGCGGGGGGGAGGGGGGGGGCGAAAAAACGAATATTACTTTCACTGCGCGCAACTGCTCACACGTACGCGAGTTTCGCCGCAATATTTCGAGACTTTTACACTTTCATGAGTTCCGATGTTTATCAGTGGGAATCGCCGCTTGATGAATCGAAAGATCTATAGATTTGTGCGCCAGCTCAATCGATACATGGCAATTTTAGATAATTCCGCTAATTGCGCATGATAAATGGGCTCTTTATCGCATCCTCGGAACAATATCGCCATGACTCCTAAGAATTCAATTATTTATCTTTTATTGACCTGATTGAAAGAAGGACGTTTACAAAGCTTTTTATTTTAAAAGTCGCGTGAAGATTAAACGTGCAGATGCTGATAACATTTTAAAGTTTAAAATTTTTTAATTTTTAACTATGTAATACCAATCTTGATAAATTAGCGATTTAATATTTACGACGATATTATCTTAAGGTTAACGTTTGTAGCGTTTTTCAAAAACTGAAAAGAGACGTGACGGAAGAATTATGCGATCGGGGATAGAGGAAAAAAGTTTGCTCGCAACTGGTTTATTAAGACGATGACGTTGGCGAAATGGCAACGTCGTTATAATTCTCTCACATGTGGAGGAATTTATCCTTGCCGTTGACGTATCGTACGCATCGATCGCGCGATGAACGACGCCGACGTGTTAATACCGAGCGGGCATCGCTGCCTGCGTCGTGGATTAAAGAAGTATCCCAGTATCGATAAGAAATTGTGGGACGCGAGCAGCAGGTGGATTCTGCAGTGGGATAATATAGTGAAGCATCCGGGTGCGAGGGCGAGAGGATGTCACTGCGACATCCACAAGCCGCCTTGGCTGTATCCAGATTTAGGTATACATGAATTAATCCTATCGCGACAAGCGCGATCTTGTCACGGTGACGGTTAAGCGATTGTAATGCCAATTCAATGCTTCCTTATCCTTGAATATTTCTTACGACAATCGTATCAATCGTTTTTGTGTGCTTTTATGTTGTAATATTTGCGACAACATAAGACGATGTTGATTAATTTTAAAATATTGTTTTTTTCTAGGTTGTTATTTGCTTTGAAACAAACTGATTTATTTTTCCTTCTTTTTAAGTTTGTGCAATTTTTAAATTTTTTTGTTTTTGTGTTTTTTATTTTTATTTTTTTTTTTATCTTTTATTTTTTTGGAACTCTCGCGAGAGAGGAATCGCGAGAGATTGTGATGAGATGCAACTTTGACAATTTTCTTTCTTTTTTTGTTTCAGTTGGCAAGGATAGCGACGAACTCGATAGAGCGGTAAGTAAAATCAATTAAAGAGTGCATACAGAACTTTATTGCGTGTTATTTATAGAAAAAAAATATTTTGAGAAAAAAATGTCTATTGCAGATCAAGTCGGCTCCCGTTAAAAGGTTGAATATGCCTCCAAAGAGAGGTCAGTTCGGGCCTGCCAGAACACCAGTTTCTGCCTTAGGTATATCCAAATATTATTATCCGAATCATCTTACCTATCTCACAATTATTGCTACTTACATCGCCAATCTGATTTTTTAAGCATGACATATTGCAAGAATAGAGCAACAAGTTTTTTTTCAAACTGTGCGAAAATTACAAAGAGCAATATATGTTAAATATCGTGAAACGAGTTATTTTTAATTTGTGAAAATTGTTAGATGTATACTCGTGTCGTATTTGGCTATTGTGTCAATGTTAAATGTTAATATTTTTTTAATTATGTCGAAACAATGACGTAACAGTGCTAGTTTATGTCGCATAAATGAAAGAGCTTTTTATGTAAACAATTTTGTTGTATATTGGCTACGTTTAGCAGAACGCTTATTTTACAACTTGAAATTTTTATACACTGAGATTGGAGATTGTTTTTCGAATTTAAAAAAAAAATAATCCAATCTCGGTATAGAAAGCTTCCAACAGTTGCGAAATAAACGTTCTGCTGAACGCGGTCATTTTACCTGAGATGTGTCTCTTCGTGCTCCATCCGAAATGTATATGTTATGACTCAGTATTAACTAATTGTCATAAAAGCAATCTCTCTCAGCAAACGAGAAGTCCGTATACGTCGTAATCCTTACTTACGCTTAGTTTAATCTCGGTGCGGCTTTATTTTTGCATTGTTAACAATACATTATCAAAGAAACTCGCCAGCAAAAGGTCAATAAGTACGTTGACGTTTCGATGACGAGGATACGCTAACTGTTCGCTTGCATGAAACAGCTCCTGGTACTCCATCCTACACGGTCCCAAGGGCAACGACCGTCAAAAGAGCACTGTCAGTAAGATCAACATCAGGTATATCTAAATTTTATTATTGGCAATTAATTAAGAATTGGCAATTCTAAGAAGCATCGCGTTATTTTCGAAAATTGAAGAGATTTTTCATCAAGAAAAGATAGCAGATTGCATAGATAATTGCGCTGTCAATATATAATTTGGAATCCTACACGGAAAGAATGATTTTGCTGAAGTATTTTTAAATTTGGCTAAAAATATCAATTTTGTTAAACTTTCAAAATTATTATGTAGGATATTTAAGTATGATGATGACTACAAAATTGCTGGATTCTAATCGATTTGAATAATGATCTACATAATTATTTTGTAAACTCAACAAAATTGTTTTCTGATCTGTATTCGGCGAAATTTTTAGATCCTCTAGCAAAAACTGTGTCTCTTTCGTGTAGAATAAATTTTGTAACGCGGAATTTATCAGTAAATTATATCGCACAATTTTCCCTAATTAGGATAACTTAGCTTCTTATTCATACGCTTCTCATCTATGACTTAACATATAACTATACACGATGCTTATTCATTACTACGTGCAATCATCGTTTCTGTTAATCTGTAATGCATTTTGTATTCGTACGACGACTGCTCATAAGCACTGTCTATTTTAGCTCATAGCGATTTATGTAATTTTTAGAATTAGTATTATAAACATTGATAGTTTCTGGAAGTGCAAAGCATGAAAAATATAGTTCTTGGAAACAATTATTATTATCCTTTAGCGTACAATATATTTCCACATATTGAAGTGCATACAAAGAAAATTATCATTGTCATCATCTCTTTAGCGCAAGCCGGAGCCGTTGATGAAGAAAGCTTTATTACTTCATTCGAGGATGTACCTCCTGTCAATCTATTCTCGGCAAAGGACCTCGAAGAACAGATGAAAGTTATCAAGGATACCGTGGGTGATGATAAAAAGGACTGGAAACAGAGAATGGATAGTGTACGTGTGTGACAGCGAGAAAATGATCATTCTCTCGTACCTTGATGACTTCCTATTCATTGTCCTCTTGTTCTTACAGATGAGAAAGCTAAGAGCCATTGTACTCGCGGGTGGCACTAATTATGAAAATTTCCACGAGTGCCTAAAGAACGTACAGCGACCATTCGAGCTGGCCTGCACCGACCTTAGATCACAAGTAGTGCGAGAGGCGTGTATAACTCTCGCCTTTCTGAGTCAGAGTCTGAAGACCAAATTCGCCAGTTTTGGCGAGGCAGTTTTGCTCACGTTAATGAACCTCATACAGAACAGTGCCAAGGTAAATCCTCGCGGAATTCTAGATTTCTGTTAGACGCCTAGTCCATTTAGATCCGATTATTGTCCAAATCGTTGTATCAAGTTCCATAATGTGTCTTCGCTAGAAACGTTTATCTCGTAGAGTTTTACAACGGTTACGTGTTTGTTAGTTTTTACGTAATCTCCATTAAAGGTAAGAATTTAATTACTCTTGCCATTTTCATGGTAACTAGGTCGTGGCGACAGCCGGCGCGGTGGCAGTTCGGTTTATCCTTCAAAATACCCACTGCAGTCGATATGTGCCTATTATTATATCGTGCGTGAGCAATAAGAGCAAAGACATTCGCAGGGCGTCCTGGGAATATTTGGCTTTGATCCTGCAAACCTGGCCTACGCAGATATTGCAGAAGCACATAACAGTACTGCCGGACGCACTCAAGAAGGGCATCGCGGACTCCGATGCGGAAGCGCGAGTCTTTGCCAGGAAGTGAGTAGCCCTCCGCAGTTAGATAAGTTTCAATAAACGGTTACCCTCTGATCAATTTAATAATATTAATTTTAATCGCTTTTTGCAGATCATACTGGGCATTTAAAAATCACTTTCCAGAACAGGCTGAGATCCTACTTAATAATTTGGACGCGTCATATAAACGCTCCTTGATGTCTCTCAGCAATAGTGGCAGTAGTAACAGCTTAAATGTCGTGGCTAATGCGAGATCGTCTAGTGTTAGCCCGCGTACAGCTAGACCGGTGATGAGCGCGGCAGGTAAAGATGTTTTCCGCTTATTATCGCGATTAAAGTGCTCCATTTAAAACGGATTACGTTGCAATATGTCGATGTTACTCGTGCTGCGATCTTAATATAAAGGACTTGTCACTCTGTTTTCATGCTGCTTTGCGACTTCTCTTCTTTACATTAAACATATGAAGGTAGTACGGAAAATTTGCATCAGACCACGGGTCAACCGCAAGGTCCGCTCAGACGTACCCCGTCCTTGCCTCGATCTTATCGTCAATCTGGTATCCCGATACTACAAAGACCAACAGACAGTCATTGTAATTGTTCTTTTGTTTCAAAAATAGATCGCACTTTGTACATCACATTTACGTCACACTGTAAAGAAACGATGCACAAACGAAACTGTTGTCATATATTAATCTTCTCTCTTTTTATCTTGCACAGAAGTTGTAAAGTAGAAACCTAATATCATAGAATTAATCTATTCTATATTTCTGCAGATCGAGGAACACCAGGAGTTAGATCTACCAGTGCGATTGATCTGCAAGCTGCTCAAAGAGCAAAAGCGAGATTGATGTATGCGAATATGAGCAGACAGAAAGCAGCAGCTGCACTTCGTAAGTTTCAATGATATTTTTAAATATATCTTATAAAAAAAAAATGATTGAATAACTCCTTGTCGATGTACGTGGAATGAACACTGTAACATTTTATAACGCACAGCTCGTCCTAGCAAATCTCCGGATCCTAACGCTGTTGCTAGCCCGGAAAGAATTGCAAGAACAAGGACAAGAGTGTCGGGAGTGTCACAATCTCAACGTACGTTCTATACCTATATATTTTATGAAAAAAAGAAACAGACGAATAACGGATAAGCATTTTTAACAAATTTTTTCCGTAACAGCTAGCAGTAGATCGGGTTCCCCATCGTCTAGATTAAGTTACGCCACATACAATCGAGAGGGCGAATCATTGATAGGTAGACCGAGACGATTATCCGGGCACACTATTGGTAGCACAAGCAATAGTCGCGAACCCAGTCCACAAAGATTCGGAATGGATAGGAGTTTCGCGAGTAAACTAAGGTATGTACAATTTCGTTTAAATTTAATAAATTCATTATAAGTAAATTTCATAAATTCATTATAAGTTATAAGTACAAATTATTTGGATTGATAGAGGGAGAAATCTACATATGTCACCAACGGACAGCACTAGGCCACCAGTTATGGCGCAGAAGATGCTGCAGAAATCACGCGAGGCGGAATCCGCTTTGGCGGATGCTCTGACCTTTGATAGTATCGACAGTTACACCAGAATACCAGGCAACAAAGGGGATCACAGTGATGACAGCGAAAATAGCAGTATATGCTCGGAAAGAAGCATCGATGGTTATAGACGAGCCAGTGATGTAAGTATAAGTTTTATTACAAATAAAAGAAATAAGAAAGTGATGCGTTTTCGGCTTTGGTATTGGATTTGAGTTACTTCGATCGAAAAGTAGATATATGTCACATAGAATCGAAGTTGTACAACAAGTTTATCGTTAAATCAAGTTTTCTTTGTAAACTAGCATACATACGTTCACAAAGAAAAAATTGGAGAACATCTTTACACATATTATTTTACATGTCACGCTACATTAATATTATGAATTTCAGCACGTTTTTATGTATGTGATAATAGATGTTATCGCTTGTTATAATTAATTGATTAACGCTTATACAATACACAATAGATTTTATTTTAATTTTAATAGCATGTACATTAATACATTTACACTTTAAAACATTTAATTTTTTATTTTTGTTTTATAATTTAATAGAAAATTTTTGTTAAGATATAAAATGATTGATTCATTATTTTAAATTATTTATATGAACCGAATTTTTATTAAATAAAGAAAACGGAAAATCAAGATGCATAAAGCTTTTAGCATTGTATGATGATGTAGCTAATGCATGTCTGGTTTTCACTTTTGATTTTGTTGCGGCGTATTTGTTTGGTTTGGACTAACGCGACACGCCGTTCTGTTCTCCATATTTCTCCATCGTCCATCTACCCATTAGTCGTTCTCATGGAGTGGCTCTCAACCGAGACTATATCGTGATCTATGGGATCAGTCTATCCCAAAGGTTTGTTAAATTCTTTTCTTTTCATTTCTGCGCATTGAAGTAAAGTTATAATTATAACTTATTAAATGCTTTTAAATCAATCGATACAGCAATTGTATTTCAATAGCCAAAAAATTGATTATTTTCTGAACATTTTTTTTTCTATTATTTATTTTTACATCGAGAGTATTTCAATATAAAGTTAGGTGTTGAAATAAAAATTTAGAAACAAACATGCAATGATGTTTTTCTCATTTTACAGGATATCAAAGAAATTATTGAAAATTGTGGTCATAAACATTGGGGAGACAGGAAAGAAGGCTTAGTGGGCTTACAACATTATTTGAGCAGTGGAAACACTTTGACAGCAACAGATTTGCGTAGAGTGACGGATATTTTTACAAAAATGTTTATGGATTCCCATACCAAGGTATTCAGTTTATTTCTGGACACGTTGAACGAATTAGTGATTACTCACAATGAAGGTCTTGGCGACTGGCTATACGTTTTGTGCGCGAGGCTTCTTAATAAATTAGGCACCGATTTATTGGGATCCATACAAGCCAAAATCCATAAAACGCTTGATGTTGTAAGGTGAGGATTTATAATTTTTTTTGCACATTATGTCATCTGTTTATTATGTCATCATTAAGTTTATGATGATTATATTGAATTTCTGACTCACATTTCTACATATACAAATATGTAATAATTTGTCTCCAGAGACTGTTTCCCGGGCCAACAGCTTCTACCAGCTGTGATGAGGTATCTGACAGATCCAACACAAACACCCAATTCTCGCGTGAAAGTAGCAGCATTGACTTTTATCACGCAGATCGCTGAAACGGCAGAACCGTCCGCGCTGGGCAGTTCTGCAGCGACAGCACTTGCACGACTGCTCGATTGGTCAAATGATGGCAAAAGCCATGATGTGAGGAGACACGCGCAAAACGCTGTGATATCACTTTACAATCTCAATCCACCTCAAGTTACTATGATCCTTTCTGAATTACCGAAATACTATCAAGTATGTTGAATCTTAATTATTGGTTAATTTAGCGTTTCTTTTTTCGTGCTAAATTATTGTATTATTCTCGTATTAAATTATTGTTTTTCTTTTAGGAGACAGCTTGGCCCCTCGTACAAAATCATCTAAGGAAATCATCCGCTTCTAGTAATCCGGCGTCACCTGGCACGCCACCGCCTAGAGCGCAAAGCTCGCCAGCTCGAACGAAAGCGAAGAACGATGTTAAAGTGGAAATGAAGACTGAAATCGACGGAGGAGACGAGAACTTGGAAGAAGTATACAAGTACGTATGTTTTACCGCGTCCAGATTAGCAATATTAAATATGTTTTATAAGACATCTTAATCTTTTCTTTTCGAGACATCTTAATCTTTTAAAGTTCTTCCTACAGATCTCTACGACGCACAACCGCCGAAATCCAGAATTACGGCTTTGAACGTTTGGAGAGAGCCACCACTAGTAAAGACAGCGGTATCAGTAATATGGCCGATGTAGAAGAAAGAATGGAAGGTCTTACATTATCCAATTCGGTAAGCTTAGATAATAATACGATAAACAAAAATATATTTTGAGATTACTTTAATTATTATTTTCAGGGTCGATCTTCATCCGTTTCCTCACCGACGCAACGAGGACGATCTGTTAGTAACATAACTGTGAATGGATCTGATACGATTGCTGGTGATTTGATTCTACCTCAAGAAAATAATGGTTATAAAACGCATGGTGTGTTATTATTTATTTAAAATAAAAATAGCTTGCATATTTAATGAAAAAAAAATTGAAGAGATTAAAGATTAGTAAATAAGTGAAAATGAGTATAAATTTTTATATATATATATATATATATATATATATATTTATTTATTTATTTATTTAT